AGCATACTTGCTAAGTAGCTGGTTGATAAAAGTGAACACCCAAAAACACTTAAGTATACCCATTATGCCATGTTATATTTCAAAGAATAATTTTCAATAGGGTCATTCTATAAGCTACACGTATCTTTATCATTGTTCAAAGATGCCAGAGACCTATTTCCCAGATCACAAGATTTGAAACTTGAGATTTTAAGATCTAAGAATCAGGAAACTATTACTTTTTCCAGAAAAGAGTCTCAGTGTTAGAGAAGCAGAAAGAGAAAGAAAAAGAGGAAATAAAATATGCCTAAATACTATGTTCATTAGATCATAGGTATCCAAGTGTTTTGTAATTAATAAGTTTGGTAATCAGCATTCCTAATGGGAGATTTGTAAAACTAAATGACATAGCAGTCAAGATGTCCTGTGACTCAGAGAATACAGTGTATGAAAAGGCACTTTAATGATCCACTCAAAGTCTACTTTTAAAATAGTCAAAATAAGAACATTCTTGAATAATTATATTGAATTATCTAATATTCAAGAAGCTCTACAAACATGATTAAAATAATAATCAGAATTTAAATCAACTTTAAAATGAAAGAAAAGAGAAGAGTATATCCTAAGCAAGAAAGACACCTGAAGTTGGAGTTATTAAATGAATTAAGACATCTACAAAGGTCCCATGTGAGAGGACTCCAGCTCTGCCTCAGCAGAAATGCTGGGGAAGCAGGAGCCTTGGAGGCAGAGTCCAGCTTTTCAGAGCCTCAAGCCAGGATATAAAAATATTAGTGGCTGAGGGCTGCTGAACTATAATTTTAACTACATTCAAACAGTGGGGAGATTTAAAATATCAAGTATCATAAAGCAGACAGGAGTCACCCAGGTAATAGCGCTGTAAATCTAAAATAATGCAAAAAAAAAAGTAAATTTGATTATTTGTGGATGACATGATGCTCTATATAGAAGACCCAAAAATTCCACTTCTAGATTTATGTTTTTAATTTGGAGAAAAAAAGCAAAACAGAAAAAAGGGTAGAAATAATACAAAATTTCAACAAAAACAGTAAGAAATCACTAGTTGATAAATTACATTTTTTGATAAATTATATATTGTTATCTTAGAAGTAGTTGCTCAAGTCACAAAATCGAAGCATAAAAAGTGGACAAATAATGACAGTACAAGCCATTCTGTTTGATGAACTAACAAAAACTTAGTAGTATTGTTATCTATCTTGCACACTTAAACATATATACAGTTATATCCTTCAGAGCACTTTCTTTCCCTTTCATTATTACAATATCTAGTATACATTTTGGATCTTATTACTTTCAATATTTATTATAATTTTTATAGTAGAGAGACAATACAATATTTATCGATGTGAGTCTGATTTATTTCACTTAGGATAGTCTCAAGTTGCCTCCATTTACCTATAAAAGCCTCAAATAATAACCAAATTCAGTAGTGTAGCTGGATACAAAATCAAAACTCAATAGCCTTCCTGTACATGAATAATGAACTCACTATGTGAAAAATTGGGGAAACAATGTCTTTCACAATAGCACTCCCCAAAAAATGAAATACCTAGGAACCAATCTAATGAAGGAAGTAAAAGATCTTTACATTGAAAATGACAGTACTCTGAAAAAGGATATTAAAGAGGGTATCAGAAAATGGAAAGATATCTGTTGCTCCTGGGCAGGAGGAACCTATATTGTGCAAATGCCATATTTCAAAATTGTTATACAGATTTAATGCAACCCTGATGGAAAGTCCAACAGCATATCTCACAGAAATAGAGGAAACAATCCTAAAATTCATTTGGAACTAGAAGAGACCTAGAATAACCAAGGCAATTCCAGGCAACAAAGACATGGCAAGGAGCATCACAATTCCTGACTTGAAATTATACTGAAAAGCTACTTTGATTAAAAACAGCATGGTACTGCCAAAAACAAAACAAACAGTAACACCAACAGAAGATGCGAAAACAACTCCAGACATACTTAGCCAGCTTAGCTTTAACAAAGATACCAAAACCTTCATTGAAAGAATGCCTCCTTAAAGAAAAAACTTGCTTTTCACATTCCAAAGATTAAAACTAGAAACGTGTCTTTCACTGTGCACTAAACTAAAATCAGAATGGATCAAAGATTTGAATATTAAAAGAGAAACACTAAATCTGGTGGGAGAGAGCATAACTCTTGGAGACACTGGTGTAGGCACACAGACTTTATAAACAAAACCCCAATCATGCAGGAACTATCACAAAGAATCAATAGCTGGCATCTCATTTAATTAAAAAGCTTTTACACAGCAAGAGAAACCACCAACAGAGTGAAAAAATAGTCCACAGTATGAGAAAAAAAATGTCAGCTATTTCTCAGACAAGAGAGTACTATCTGGAATATATAGGGAACTCAGGAAATTCAGAACCCTGCTCCAGATTTAAAGACTCAATCCAAAAATGAGCATCTGAAATAAATATACTTCTCAGATGAAGAAGTAGAAACCATAACTAAATATGTGAAAAAATGTTCAACATCATTGATCATTTGAAAAATGCAAATTAAAGCCATGCTGAGATTCCATCTCACCTCAGAAAAAATGGCTATTATCAAGAAATCAACCAATAATAAAGGTTGGTGGGACTGAGGGGAAAAAGGAATTCTTTCCCACTGTTGGTGGGAGTGTAGACTGGAAAGCAGTGTGAAGGTTGTTCAAAAAACTAGGACTAGAAGTTCCATTTGACCCAGCTATTCCCCCTCTTGGTATCTTCTTGAAAAAATTAAAAGTATCAGACCACAGTGAAACATATCCACCCATGTTTATAGCAGCACAGTTTGTAATAGCTAAATCTTGGAAACAGTCCACATGCCCATCAACTGATGAATGGATAAAATGGAATACTACTTTGCCACAAAGAAAAATAAGCTCGAGACATTTCCAGGTAAATGAATACACCTTAAGATTGTCTTAAGTGAAATAAATCAGACACACGTGTCAACACTACATTGTTTCTCTGGTGTGAGAAACTGAAAGTGTAAATAAGGACCAAAGTGTATTATACATATTGTGAAATAGGAAGAAAATGTTCAAATGGGAAGAGGAACTAGGGAGGGGGAGGTGGAAGAAAGGAAGAGAAAATGAAAAAAAGCGAAAAGAAGGAAAAAATTGAAACAAAGCTTTTATAGACGGGAGCCGTTGGGGGTGGGAAAGGAGGCATCAAATTATATCAAGTATAGATACAATTTTCTATGATGAATGGAACCACCATGTATACCAAAAATGTACCAATAAACTTAATTTTTAAAATAAAAAATAATACTAAATTTGAACTCCATAAATTTCCACCCTCTTGCCCTGCACAGCTCTAATGCATCAAATCCCTACTGATTTGACTATTTTCAACCAGATGAAAGCTGTTTTGTTTGTGAAGCTACAGAACAAAGGATACATTCTTTTCTTTGCCAGGACATATTATTCAAACAGGTCTCAGAACCAGCTGGAGAATACAAATATTGTAATTTTAAAAAGAAAGAAAGCCAGGGAAAGGAAATGTGGTAATAGCAGTCAGGACAAAAATGAGGAATTTACATATCTCTGTTGTAATGCAGTTTGACCACAGGCACATGTGTTAAACAAAAAAGTACAGCGCTGTGTGCATTTCCACATCTGTTGCTAGATCTTTCAGCTGGAGAAGCAATACAGATGAAAGGCTAGAGGGATGCATGTGTTCGTGTGTGTGTGTGTGTGTGTGCGCGCGCACTTACCTTTCAAATTTGCAGGGATGACAGAATGTATTTAAAATGTAAGTTGCTTTGTTTTTTTCTTTTGAGGAAAAGAAAATAGGGTTAGACTACTTGAGCAACTATTAAAGAAGTGAGAACAGTGCTCAGAGTACTTAGGAATAACATGATTTAGGATTTCCTAAAACGTAATTGATGGAGTACTAGTTTCAGAGATATTCAGAGTAGAGGGGAAAAGGTTCTAAATCAAGCATTTTAGAGGCATTAAGAAGAACCGAGGAAAAAAAAGTTAGTAGAATTTATTTACCCTGGTACTTCCTGAACTTATTAGTATTCAAAACATTTATTTTGAAGAAATAATGTATATCACAAGGGGCACAAGTGAAATAAACTAACAAATAGGTATTTTCAAGGTAACCAGACAACAGACAGGTATCAAGAAAATCTTCATTAATTTCATTCTGAAATATAATTTGCTCTCCTGTATCACTTGGTATGGCTGAAAACTTCTGAATGACCAAATCCCCAAGCTATTCATCAAAGCAAAATAGTATTCTAATGCATGAATTTCCATACCCCTCAATCACATAGAGCACAGGCCTCCATTCAGAATTCTGTATCACACAGGCAAATACAAGTTTTTCATTAGATAATCCACATATGCAATTATAACATCCAGGCAAGAGTCTTAGGATACAATATTGTAACCTCTTCTTCAGTAGCTACCCGAGGCTGTCACTTGTTATCTGAAACTAACCCTCAGAGCCTGCTATTCCACCTCAAACTAAAAGACTGCCCAGTGATACATGATATGAGCCACGTCCCACATATGATTTCCACAGGGTTCCCATGTGCAGAAGGATTCCATAGAGGACCTTTATGGAATCTGCCCTAGCCCTAAGTAGCACCTCTCAGCCTTCAAAGAAGCTACTTTTTAAGGATTTGGCTCTACCAACTACCATCAGCTCTTTTTGGTAGGGTGTGAAGGTGTTTCATTCAACTAAGAAAAGATTAGCATTAAAAATAGTAAAAAGTGGGAACAAGGGATACAAATCTGGTCATCCAGGGTGGATACATGTTAGAGGCATTTCCTGACAGGACTCCAAAGACAGAATCTGATAGCATAGATTCAGATACAAAATCTATAAAAGATTATGGCTAATTTTAAAGATGGTAGAACATTATATCTGGCCTCTTTAGACTTAAAATTCAAAATTAAAGGAAAAGCCAAATCTCAAGTTCTGAGGCTACTTTTCAAATTGACTTACCTCAACCTCCACTTTTGTAAAGGGCTGGCAGAAAGTAAGCACACACAGCTGGATGCTGAAAGGAAAAAAAAAAAAGAGGTTTACCCTCAAATGGCAACACAAATTCAACTGCTACACCCCCAAGAGAGGTCTACTTTTATATAGTAATACATGGCTCATCTACTATCACCCATAAACTTCTTTACACACAGGTACCTCACATCACACTTTATTCACACATATTTATAAATCCTGCAGCTGCAGGATATAACGCTTCTTGGGCCTAAACAACCATTCCTACCTTTCAAAAGTTAAATAACGGGCCAGGGATTTAGTTCAGCAGCACAAACATCTGCTTGGCAAGTGCGAGTTCACAAGTTTGATCCCTAATACACACATACACATTAAATAATCAAATATGCATTTGTGAATTCTGAGTCACAGCTAAATAGCCTAATAGTTTTAGGAAATCCTAATTCTGAACCCAGAATTTACAGTTTCCTTGACCACAAATGCACATGCCTAGATCTCTAGAGAACTTACCTAAAGCCACACTCTAAGGTACAGAAATGTGTTTACAAAACTTGCCCGAGTGGAACACTATGTTTCTAAAGTCTTCCAGTACTTAAAGAAAAATCAGTGGGCCTTTCCTTAAATGCAGAGACTTTATCAAAATTGTCCCAGATATTAAAAAATGTTTTAGTGATAGGGAAATTGGAAGTTTCAGATTTCACTAAAAGGCTAGACAGAGGCTTTCTTTACAGTAGTTAACCAAACCCCTCAAAGATAATTTTTGAAGCTGATGTTCCATTGCAGTTTTCCAGTAAGTATGTAGACTCCCTGCAAAAGATTTCTGTGGGAGTTTTAATTTATACTCATTTAGACATTTGACTCAGAAATCAGTCAGAGGGGATTAAATTATATGGTAAAGAAAACAAGTAAGCAGCCTTTTTCTTGTTATTAAGATAACTTTATTTATCTGCAAAAATTACCTTAAGGGACTTAGGGACACTGGGAGTTTAAACAAGGATTTCAGCTTAAAAAAGGAATTTAGGAAGTTACTACCACCTCTAGCCAGAAAGGGTGGCATATGCCTGTAATCCCAGTAGGCAGTTAGGAGGCTGAGGCAGGAGGATCACTGAGAGTTGAGTTCAGGCCAGTCTGGACTACACAGTGAGTTGAAGGCAGCCTGAGCTATACAGCAAGGCTCTGTCACAAGAAAAACAAAATAAATGAACTAAATAAATTTACCATTTTCATAATGTATTATCATCTTTTTGAGCCAGGGTTTTATTATGTTGTCTGGGAAACCTCTAATTCACCATCCACCTGCCTCAGGCTCCCAAGTAGCTGGAATTACATTTGTGTAATCGTTGCACCTGACTTCAGTTACAGATTTTCAAGCTCTGTCTGAGGAGGTAAAAAGTCCGTTACTGTCTGGAAACTTCAATCAAGCCCAACCCATATTACCCATCATCAAGTACAATGTCTTTGAATGTTTTAAATTGAACTTTGGTATTTACTTCTTTGAACAGACACATATTTAGTTTTGATAATTCTGAATGCTGTAAAAAAAAAAAAAACATATGTAAGATGTCATTAAAGATAGCTTTAACACTTCCTAGACTGATGGGAAACAGCTTTTGCACAGCCACTCTTGCAAACCTTATTCCCTGATTTGCCTCTCCCTTAAAACGCAGACTCATTTAAAATCTCTTTCTTAGAATCTGCATCTAAAGAGCAGCTGGAGAAAAGACGACAGGGAGAATGGAAAAGGTGCTGCTAGAAATAACAGGCGCTGTGTTATCAATAACATTAAGCAGAGCACAAGACAGGGCTGGAGGTGAGATCTGGCCTGAGTGCCACGTAGCATCTGGACAAAACAAAGCCGTGCCTGCTGAAGAAACTTCTGGTTGTTGATTAAACCCTAAGAAATCTTTGACTCTTAAAATATCTTTTTTCCTGAATTTTCTTCCTTTCTTTCTTTATCATCTGTACCAGGGATCAAACTCACGACTGCCTGCTTGCAAGGCAGGCACTTATGCCACTGAGGTACTTAAATACACCACGCTATTTTCTGCCCTAATCCTCCTTCCAAAAGCCACCTTTCATTCAGCTGCCTGAACTGCTACGCAACCAAAGCAAACAAACAAACAACAACAAAGTCACAGTGAACTCACAGTCACTCTTTCGAAAGGGTCCTTAACCTGTAAAGACCAAAGGATGATGCACTCCAGGAAACAGAAATATACACCAGGGGCTGGAGGTTTAGCTCAGCGGCACAAGCGCCTGCCTTGTAAGCAGGCAGTCATGAGTTCGATCCCCGGTACCGATAAAAAGGAAAAAGACAAAAAAAAAAAAAAAAAAAAATATATATATATATATATATATATATACACCCACTTAGTTTTTAGTCACTTTTGTTTCTAAAAAATTCTCATACTAGTTGTTTCTCCTAACTCTCAAGTACACTCAAAATCAGTAGTGGCATGAAAGATACGTGCCACTTTAATAAATAAACTGATTTCTTAAAGAGGTAAAAAAATACTGTTCCACACATCTTTTACAATGTATGCTCTTTTATTTTTGGTATTTCCTTAATGTGAATTACCAAGAACTGAAGCATAACAGGAACACAAATGTATCACATGTGCTAATATTCATTCTGTTTATCTATTTTGATCTAAATAATGTCAAAGCAATTTGCAACACACAAACAATGGGGAAATTGTGCTTTTTCTTCTGATTTTCAGGTATCCAAAGAAGCCCACGGTATGCTTGAAAGCAAAATAATGATTTTCTTTTAAATGTTTCCAATGTATTGTCATTTATCTATCCAAAATGGTATTTGAGCCTTTGGGAAACTCCTCAAATCCAGGTGTTTCATATGGTTTCACCAAAATTTAAACAAACTCAGACTTCTCTACTGAGAAATAACAAAAGATTATAAAATAAAGTCTGCTTCTACACGCTCTATTCTTTTTGAAGGGCTATTTTCTACCTGGTTGTCTAATAGCGAAACCTCCTCTCTATTCTTTTTGAAGGGCTATTTTCTACCTGGTTGTCTAATAGCGAAACCTCCTCTCTATTCTTTTTGAAGGGCTATTTTCTACCTGGTTGTCTAATAGCGAAACCTTCCTCTCCTCTCTTAATTGCTAATAGAAACTGCTGATTTCTGTGGTTTTAAAATCTAAGAGCAGAACTGAAATCTTGGTTGGCTATTTTCTCAGCTCCTTCCAGACACATCAGAACTATTTCAGCCATATAACAAAATCAATCTGAACCGCACACATCAATGTAGTACAAGGTAAAACTAAAACATATAGAGAATGTTTAATTTTTAAAAAGTCATCAGAGTAAAAGACACATTACCATCAATCCCCCTCAAAATACTACCCCTCGCCTCAACTGTGTTTTATTCAATCATTCCTGCCACTTTCTGAAGCAATTCTGAGTGTCCTTTTTCTGGAGTATTTTCAGCTGCACTGTTGTGGTTATCTTAATGTCCTGAATTGATTCAAAACATTTTCTTTTCCTGGTTATTTTGACTCTTAGGGAAGAGACAGAAATTGTAATGTGTCTAATTTAGTGAAAAAGGCGATGAGGACTCCCTGTAATGTTTCTATAAGCCTGGCTTTCTGTTAGCATGTGGCAGTAGCATTCACATTTATTCTACCTCATAAAGACACAAAAGAGGACTTGCAGAACAGCTTTGCAAAGTGGCAAGAACATACATATGTTCAAAGCATATTTAGAGGAAGGTTAATGGCAATGTGTCTGTTATGGTTTGCGTCTGGAGGTCCCTCCAAGTCCTCATGCAGTCACAAGGGCGGGAGGCTGGCTCTTCCCAGGCAGCTGAATCTAATGTTTGTGATTGGTTCATTGTCTAGTTCTGGGATTGGTGATGTGAATGCTGCACCTGCTCAGGAACAGTTAGTCGTCATACAATATAAGGGAGGGAAAGAGATTTGCCCCTCCCTTTTTTCCTTTTGCTCTTGTTGCTGTGGTCACCTTGAACGGCTGCCTCTCTGCTAAGCCAACCTGCCCTGGAGCCAGCTGAGTATGAACTGAAACCTTCACGAACTGTAAGCTAAATAAATCTTTCCTTCCTTCATTCTAAGAATCAGGTATTTTGTCTTAGCAATGAGAGAAAAGTAACCAAGACAGTGTTTTTTACTGTAATAAATTAAAAACAACAAAAATTTTTAATTAACTGTATTTTTATCATTTCATATAAAATATAAACACATACATATACATACACTAGATGATAATAGATCTGCAATGGAAATGAAAGCATAAAATTAAATCCAAGTCAGAACCAAACAGGTCGCTGAAATGCTCCTTGCAAACAGTAGATAAAACACAGAGACCCATTTGAACATGAATTCTAAACTAGAATCCTCTACCCAGGAAACCACAGGGGTTAACAGTCATACAGTGATATGCTCTATAAAAATACTAGTAACCAAATATAAGATTCTAATCAGAAACTTTACTTTTAAAAATAAAGTTTTCATTTTAAAGGAAGGATAAATGATCTTTTCATCAAAATAAAATTAATATAAACTAATAATAGACACAAGTGACTCACAATGTGTAGCCTTGCCATGTCCAGGTCACAGTGTCCTACAACAAAAAAAGTTAAGCCATTGGTCCAGAGGATAAATATAAATAACACAATGATCTTATCTTAATATTGGGATTCATGTATACCTTTTTAGAAATTAAAAACAATATATTGGAAGTTAAAATAATTATTAAAGAATGATAAATTATTTGTAAATTCTAGGATTATGTATTTACACAGAAAAGGTTCACCTTCCAATGCTATTATCTTTTAATGGAACTTGTTATGAATTTCTTAAAAACACAGTACAAATTCAACAAACTCAACTATTTTTCTACCAGTATGAACATTACTGGAAAATCAGCTTGTTTACAAAAAAAAAAAAAAAAAAATCAGTTCTCAAAAAAAAGGTTACTTAGCAGAGGTACAATGAGTAAAAGTTTGATAGATAATAATTTTTTAACCAAAAAATGTCCAAGATTGAGAAAGCATCCAATGAACAGAAAGTTGAATTGATCAAGAATTCTTACTTTTAAGTAACCTAGATGATTAACAAATATATCCTGCCTTTTAATATAGATTCTCTAGTAAACAAATTCCTCTCAGAACGAAAAACTCCCCAAAAAATCTTTTTGAGACAATCACTATCCAGAGGACAATGTGGCCAGTTTGTGCAAAAGAGAGCATTTTGTGAGCCAAAATACTTTATATATGATGTTTGCTCTTGCAGATATTTTCTTACTTAACATCTTTACCAATGGGTAACAAAAGAGAGGAAGTACTGAGCCAGTAACAAAAGATCAACCCTTTCCCAAATTTATCCTGTTATTTCAGTCCTTCTCCACAAATAATGAGTTAGGAAAAGTTATAAATTTAACTAACGATTTAACTTAACTTAAAATTTTTTTATCGTTTAAGAAGACCATAAGTCTAGACTTAAACTTACTGTCATAGTATAATAAAGGCTGAGAAATAGCATCCTGAAGCTTAAAAGTAGCAAAATAGTATTTAACATTGCTATCAACAAATACGTCTCTATCATTCAAAAATTTAAAACCTGGATATGGCAAGCAGAGTCTATCTGTTGTACTTCTCCTACCATTTATTTATTCATACCCTTATTCAAGGGATTCTAGAGAATGTGTGCTGTTCAGGATACTGAGAATTCTCTCCATGATAAAATGCTGTGCTTACCAGCTTGTTTGGGTATCTGAGAAGGATTGGCTGTACTGGAACTCCCGGAATGAAGGCTCCTATAACCACATTGAAATTTATGACATGGTTTTTATCTTCATAAAATCTTTACAGGAAGAAAAAATAATTATGCATAATATAAACACACTTTATACTATGTTTAAGGGTTTATCCTAAGAAACTACTCACTAAATGTTATGTTTTCCAAAATGAGGAATTTTTAAATTGACAATATTTCAGGAAAATATTAAAGGCCATATCTAAGCCATTTGAATCTTTAATACTTACTGTCATTTTATAAACATCTACTTTCAACAAGATTTTTTAAAAAGTGATAAAATGACAAAAAAAAAAGAATATCTGGATGAAGCCAAAAGCTTGAAGCAAAAGCTCCCACAGCTACCTGGAAGTGATTCATAACTTTGGCACCAAACAAAAACATTTTAAATTGTTACAAAGTTGCCATGAAAGCTATATTACAGACTGCTAAAGAAGAATCAACCTTGGAAGACACCTCAAGATACTATAAATCATAACGAAACAGTTTTCTACTTCGTAATACAGGAACCCAGGGGTCTGTGAGTCTCTTGGAGAACAAGAAAAATATGGTTTCTATACACACACACACACACACACACACACACGCACACATGCACATACACACAGAAAGGGGACACTCTAAGGAAGAAGGGGTTATAATACCCAAAAAGGCAGAAAAAGAGTAAGTTCTGTTGAATCACAGTATTAAAAACTTTCATTAGAAAAAAGAGAAATGCTCAGAGAAAACCAGAGTTATTTTGTGTATTGCTATTCAATCATTTGAGAAATCTTCCATACTACTTTGTTACAATACATAATTTAATTTATCTCACCTGGTTTAAAAGTAATCAAACAGGAACGATTAGTACAAGTACCTTCTGGGAAAACTAGTATCTTGGGAAAAAAGGAATAGATTTAATATCTCAGTCCAATTAATAGATTACCTCTTTATTCGCTTTCTTATGGCTTCCCAAACAGCTGCCAATGCTTAAAAAACAAAGATGAAATAAAAGACTAATACTTCATTTTATTGAAAGCTACATAATATTACTGTATTGTTTTCTTTTAAAGGAAATGTAAAAGTATACTTTAGATATATTACATTACTATACTATACTATATTACTATATATTCCTTACCAAGTAACCTCTGAATTTGTTTCAGTTTTTCTTTTAAATGATTATTTGCTTCCACTACTCACAGGTGAGGGACATTGTACCAACAACAAAGAAAACGCTTGCCATGTGTTTTATGCTTAGTTGAATTAGCTGACATGTGGAATACAACTTAGTATCTTTTTTTTTTTTTTTTTTTTTTGAGGAAATGCTTTGGCTTTTAAAATACAGTGGCACCTTGGTATTCATTAATTGGTTCCACGATGTGCAACAAATACCAATCACAGTAAATACCAAACAACTTATTTTGACTGTTAAGTGACGCAAATGACAGAGAGTCACACTGACAAGTTCCCCTTTGTGAGTGGAATACCAAACAAATTACCCCAGTCCCGGCACAAAATTTTCATGTCAAAATGCACTGAGTGCCAAATTTAAGAAGTTTCAGAGCAGTTGAGGACCAAGCTATAACTGTACTTCTTTATGTTTTTCATATGAAAGACAGATAATATGGTTAGTTTCTCCACAAATAAGATAGCAGCTGGTTTTTAAAGCCTTTAAAATGTGGTCGTGAGTAAAATGCTAAGTGCAGAAAATAAAAATAAAGTCCCTGCACTCAGCACTCATAGCAGTCAGCAATGTGTATTTTACAGTAATTAGGGAGGAAAACTTTATTGGGCTAAATCACTATAATTGATGTTGTTTGTAAAATAAACATTATGAATAGGTGTAATTTCACCCTCCAATTAAAAAGTGGTTTCCTATGACAATAAGGTAGAATAACAGATGTTCTATTCTGCAGATATTGTACAGCTATGTTAACAATGAATGTGTCTAAAGTGAATCGTAAACCTTCAGTGCTGGAAAAGGCATTAGAAATCACCTTAGAGCTTTAATATTTGAATTCTTTGTAAAATAGCCCTCCACCCACCCCTGAATATTACAGAAAATCTTTTCTTTTCTTTTAGCATTCTGCCTGTGAATAGAATGTTCTTAAAATGAGCAAAATGAGTTGAAATCTACTTGCTTATTATCTCCTCCATATTAGTTTTACAGACACTATTTTTGGAGCTACAAATCCTCAGTCCAAATGGTCTTTCTCAATCAATTTTTAAATCATTCCTTACATGTTAGTTTCTAAAACTTCCTGGTTGTTCATATGCTTTTTGGTACTTTAAAATGTCCAAGTAACCGGGGTGGCCAGATTACTGCAGGACTGCTAGAGGTGACCCATTTTCATCTGAGCAAACACAGAGGGATACTTTTTAGAACCACCCCTGATTTGCTATGTAATAAACAGTGTCCTCGTTTATATAAAAGGCATTCCAGGAAAGAGGTGGTATAATGGAAAAGTCTGATAAAAGTTTTACAGGTGATTTTCATAATGTCTGTGGAACTGAGAAGTGAAATCTAAATATTCTTAAGATTCAAGATCTTACTTTTTCAGTAAATCCAACATTCTGCTGTGATTAGCTGAGTTTCATATCTCATATAATAAAGTCTATGATACATTCATGTTGCCTAATGGTAAGTAAAATCAGAGGATCACTTTTACACAACAATGTACAAATTGGTTCAAAAAGTGTGCTAAGGAAAAAAATAACGATATATTTAAATCCATGGAGAACAGTATCTTATAGGGAAGAGGATTTCTTAACACTCACTAGTCCAATTACTCTGCAACCATTACACTAAAGATACCTACTACAACTGATCACAGATATTTTTTCTGTGTATCTAAATAAGTCTGCGAATGCACAATAAATTCTCAATATATTTAAATAACCATCTCCTGTGTTTTACCTGGGGCCATTCCCCTCCTGATGTTGCTCGCTTTACTATTTCGTTTATGGTATTTTTTCGAGAATCTGGATCTATACGGGACACCAACACGGGCTGCACAGCTCGTAACAGTCCTTTAAAACAAATAAAAAAAGAAAAAATCGCAAGTCACTTTTTGGCTAAAGCCACTGTGGCAATAATACTGACTAAACCCTAAAACAAATTTTATAGAAAACGAAAATAATAGCAAAATAAAGATTAACAAACACTCAAAGTTTACTAGCAATTAGCTTCTAATTTCTTTCTTTTTTTTTTTTTTTTTTTGTCTTTTTCATTTTTATCGGTACCGGGGATCAAACTCACGACCGCCTGCTTGCAAGGCAGGTGCTTATGCCACTGAGCTAAATCTCCAGCTAGCTTCTAATTTCAAAAGGAGAGGTGGACATTTATTCCCAAAAAATATTTCACTAATTTAATAAAAGTAGACGGTAAAAATATGAAAAGAAGCAAATACCAAATTTCTCTGTAATGTCTTCTTCCCCAATTTACATTAAACATTACAAGATTGCCTTAAATTTTAAGAATATCCTGAAAAATGATTCTGTGAATTCATAATACACATAAGCAAGAGGCAATTACCATTCGCCTTACTAAAAAATTTCAGCATAGCAATCTTCTACATAACATAGCCTATACAAAACAAAATTCAGTTTACCAAAGATCTGTTGCTACACAATATTTCTGGAAAAATCACATTATGGAATGCATAGTAGTTGGGATTTAGCTCAGCAGTGTAAACGCCTGCCTGGCAAGCACAAGGTCGTGGGTTGGATCCCTGGTACGAAAAAAAAAAATGCATAGTAGTTATAGTAAAGAAAAAAATGTGTCCATGCTGAGTAACAAAGCTGCAAGAATGGCTAGCATTTCTGCAGTGCACAGAGGCAACGCGAGGCAGCATTCAGCAGCCTTCTCACCCTCTCTCTCATCCCTCTTTGTTTGCAATACCCCTTGGGCAACCCGGGAACAGTTACTTAGAGACAAGTCCCTGAGGAAGAAACTAAAGCATCTGGAGGGAAAAACACTTCACTTGCTTCATTATTTTTTATGGCAGGAAGCACTTAGTGTTCCACATCATAATTTTCAAAGAGTCACACATAGGTCCCTCGTAGAGATTTAGAGAGCCATAATGAAGAAAACAGAGTTGGAAAAAAGATTTAGTATATTTATCAGCCAAACACCCACAACAGCAATTCACAAAACAGCATGTAATCTGCGCTTTTCATAGATTCTTTGGTTAAACTCTCTTTCCAAAAGAGAAAATAAAAGATGGGCTGGGGATTTAGCTCAGCGGCATAAGCAACTGCCTTGGAAGCAGGCGGTCGTGAGTTCGATCCCCGGTACTGATGAAAAAAAAAATTAAAAGAGAAAAAAGAATCAAACATGTTTAGTATTTGAAAACTGGTCTTCCTGCCGTATATAGGAAAAGAAAGGTAAGACAGTATAGTGGTAAGGATAAGTTTTAAAAAGTACGATGACGCTACAGAGAAGGAAAATCTAATCTTTTTTCATAAATTCATTCTTTCCATGCAGTACCCTGTTTAAAATTTTGAAATATTTGGTTTTAAAGATTTTTAAAAGTTTACAAAAAAACTATATATGATTAATTTAAAGCATGAATATTCAAATATGTATCTGTTACTTTACAAGTACTTACTGCCAATCAGAGGGACCTGTGCATTTTCATTTCGAGATAACAGAGAAGGTAACCCAGCAACAACACAGGCGATCCCATCAAAGAATGTTGAATGAGGGGCAACCACAAAAATTGGTGCTTCCACAGGACTTGCAATCTTTCCTTTTACAGTAACTAAAAATCCCATTGAAAAGAACAAGGCACGACCCAGAAACGTCAAAGCTGGCTGAGTAATTTTCCTTTGAAAATAAGTATAGAAAAGACATACAGTTACTAATTGAAGGTAGCAGCAGGGCTTAATTTCTTATTACTTCTAAACTTCAATGAGAAAACCAAAGCATCTCAGAGAATTTCATGTTAAAATATGAGCTAAGGAGAATCACAGCTAACACACAGAGCTCTTTCTGTTAGGTGCAAGGCACTATTTTAATGCTTTACATACATTTAACGCTCTGATCCTTACCCTAATCTTATGACAGGTACATTATTTATTATTATTATCCTTATTTTGCAGCTGAAAAAGTTGAGCCACAAAGAAGAAATTTTGCCCAAGAATATGTGGCTTCTTTTTTCTGTGATCACAAAGTGATCACAGTAAATAATCTTCAACACATATCTCATGACATTCAAATCTGCAACACCCTTAAAAGTAGGCATCTTAGAAATCTACATTTGTATAATGATAAGTCCCTACTTCTTCAAACACTTTAGAATTTTCACATAGAATTACTTTAAGGATCATTTTTAGAGACAAGTTATCTAGGTTACTATAGTTATTAAATGCCATCAAGAATCTTCATAAGTAAATTTGCCAATTCCCTTCCATAGGACAGAGAAGTACTGAACAATTCCAGAAATCTAGAAATTTAGTTGTTTTTTTTTTTTTTTTTTTGTCTTTTTCCTTTTTATTGGTACCAGGGATCAAACTCACGACTGCCTGCTTGCAAGGCAGGCGCTTATGCCGCTGAGCTAAATCCCCAGCCCCCTAGAAATTTAGTTTTTAAAAAGATTTTTAAACGCCCTACCATTTAAGATTAAGTATTGCATCCAAACTGTGTCAAGAACTGTGCTGGGCAGGCAAGAAAAGTAAAATCCACTCTCTGATCTGATAACCTTGGTCAAATAGGGAAACAAATATTCCTTGTCTTAGTTATTTTTTTCTCCTTGCTGAGACAAAATAACTAACACCCAAAATTAAAGGAGAAAAGGTTTTTATTTAGCTCACAGCTTGAGGAGGTTTCTGTCCATAACTGGCTGGCTCAAAGGCAGGGTGGTACATGGCAGAGGGGCAACTGTTCGCAGAAGCAGAAGACAATAAAAGCAACAAGCAAGCAAGGAGACAAGCCTCTTTCTGTTCCTGACACTGCATCCCGTCTACCAGGATTAAGGCAATGCCCACCCAATCAGTGAACTGATCTAGCAATCTCCATCCTTAATCCCAGCATTGCACCACCAAACAATCACACATTCTAGATTCAGCCACCTCCGAAAAAGCCCTGTGACCACGTGATGTTGTGGAGGGAGGCACATCTAGACACAAGCCATAGCACTCCTAAAAGTGCAAAATCAGACGGATATTTTAGTATATGAATAATTATATGGCTTCTCAAAGTAATATATATATATATATATTCATCCCTTGATATCTCTGGAAAACTAGTCCTAGGAATTCTGGAAGATAAAATCCTGTGTTGTTTAAGTTCTTTACAGACGAAATGTAGTTTTTGCCTATAACCTATGCACATCTTCCTAGAGACTTTAAATCAGTTAAAGGTTACTCAAATAATAGCTAATATAATGTAGATGCTATGTAAAAGGTGTTATAGTGTACTGTTTAGGGAATAACAACAAGAAAAAGTCTACATGTTTATTATGCTTTAGTCCAAAAGTCTCATGTTCAAAGTGGGGCTTTCAGAAAATGAGTAGATCATGATGAAGCCACATATTCAGTTCAGAAGCTGAATGTGCTGTAATGGGGGGGAGGGGGGACGGACATATTCTTGTCCCAGGCTCCTCTCTCCTCTGTTTCCCAACTGCCACGGGTCAAGCAGCTTCCCACTCTCATGCCCTTCTACCAGGTGATTTCTGCCTTGGTGTAAGCAAATCATGGACTAAACCCACCGCAACCATGACCAAAAATAACCCTCTCTTCCTTTAAATTGCAGATGTCTAGTAATTTTGTCCCAGCAATGAGAAAGTTGACTAATGCAATGTTCATTACATTTTTTTTTTTTTTTGGTAGCGGAAGGAAGTCAAACTCACAACTCTGTGCATGCCAGATATATATATATATATATATATATATATATATATATATATATATATATTTTTTTTTTTTTTTTTGAAATACTGATCCACAGGTGACCAAATTTGAAGATGCAGAACTCAGAGAAATGGTAGGTTAACTGTATATCACCCATGAGCTATCTAATGAGAGCTTTAAAAATTACACTTCTTATTTCATTATCTCAGCATTCTAGTAATTGCAGAGGGAGGAGCTATTAGCAACTGGTCTCTGAGGAAGTTTCTGCAACTTTTATTTCACAGCAAGGAGAAGTGAGACACAGAAAACCAAAGCGCATTTTCTGAGGGTACAGGAAAATGATAGTATCTCCCTTTCTTCCCCTTTAGTTCAGAGATGAGAACTATCTTTATAAATGGAAAAAAACACCTCCTCACTGAGTTGCAACTACACTTCAAAATATCCCATATTCAGATATAGTAAGAATTTCTACTTAAATATTTTTTTAAAGTCTAAAAGTCTGGAGTCACGTAACTTCATTACCTATTTGACAGGAGACAGAGATACTGGTTTAATTGAAAAGAGTAAAATTTAAATAACTTATTTTCTATATTGATAGGTTATTCCTCCTAGCATCCTCGGTTTTCATAAATTACTCACAACAGAAACCAGAGATAATCTGAAAGAAACTGGTAAATCATGAAAAACAGCCCTTAAAGTATTGTCTTTATACTGCACAACTTTGAGTTGTAACACAAAGAAATACGATTTGCAAGGACTGAGGTTTCTCTGGGACATTGCCAGTACTGGATTCATTTCCATTTCAAGCCAGCTTTGTGTCTAACAGTGACATGTATTCACTAGAATACGAACTGAAAAATAAACTGCTCATTTCCTTTAAGCTTCTAGAATGGTATTTCTCAAAAAAAAATTGAAGGACATATTCGCATTTGAGATTTGGATGAACGAAACATAAATTTGTGTAAATAAAAAACCCTGTGCACAGTTTCAGGGAGTTCATCAGTGCCTTAAAGCAAATCTATGGATTTGGACTATATTTATAATCCACAATGCCCAGATTAACAGGCCCCAGTTTCAGGGCATACTGATGGCACAGTTTGGTTCTGCCCAAGAGGGATGACTTCTGCTGGTAGCTTTGCTCATTCACAATCAGCCTGTATGTTATCCTAATTGGGTACTGCTTCAGTGCTAACACTGAAAAAAAGCTAGGCTATATTGATAAATAATTAAATTGGCATTAATAGTAAGCACTACAGCAATTAATAAAAAGATAATTTATTCACTTAATTATATGACCGCAGAAACCATGTTGCTAATTTAGGAAGACAAAGAGAAAATGGAAAAGAAAGCATTTTGTCACAGCAATGATTTCAGATACACTAAAAAGGTATCTTCCAGAATGAGGGGGTATTCTTTTTTTGGCAGTAATACAGAACATGCAATCTTTCAAAATTAAAAAATTACAACTATAGTAGATTATCAGAATGTACTTGTGCAATCAATTCTATATAAATTAAGGTCAGTTTTATAGGAAAATACAAATAAATTATTAAAATTGAGTAGGCAGCCAGTAGCTAAAACTGATGATAAAATTACTTTTAAATCTTTATTTACTTAATATTTGGACATAATTATTTCTCACCTTCTCCAATCAGTTACAGGGTGGGTCAGCTTTTCAGGACAGCATGCCGTTGAAACGGCAGCAAAAGGCCATGCCAATAATAAAATTAATCCAACCAATAAAACACGAAGTGGAAGCAAGATAATTCCAAGAAGAAAAATCTGAAAGTCAAAATTGATTAAAGGTAGATAAACAGACATTATTTTAAAATACCTCTATCAAACACGAACATGTAACAAGAGACTTTATGATATTTATGCATTTACTCAAGAATGAACTGAATACTACCCTGTACCAGACCAGGACACAAACACAAAGAAAAATACAGTATGATACCTGACCTCACAAAGCCTCCCATTTGCAAAAGAAATGGGGAAGAAATCCGTAAGACAATCTGATCTGTATACCACTGAAACTGAATAAAAGATGCTAGAGAAAGCGTGTTTGACTTAGTAGCCGGCAAAAGCTTCATGGAAAAGTGTAGCCCAATGATCCAACACGTGCAGCAGTTACCAGTACAGTAAGAGGGATAAACTGGTTTTTGAAAACTGTAAGGAGAATGAAGGCTGTGCAGTGTGAAAACACGTGGCTTTATATGCCTGACAGTTTTTTGTTACTGGTAATAATAAGGCAATGGTGGAAGAAAAATAACAATAAATAATAACGAAAAGTATACAATAACAGCAAGTAACGTATTAATACTTCCTGTATCCTGGACACTCTTAAGCATTTGGCATTAAGTAATTGACTTAGTTGTTGCAACCTTACATTATTTTACACAACAGAAGTGGCAGTGAAGGATAAATTGCTTAATAAGGTCATATAGGCAGAACCAAGATTGGAACCTGGTTTGGTTATAATGTATTTGCTCTTTATCAGTCTTTGAAATGAAATAAGGTGTCCTTATGGATAACATACTGGCTTTTTCCCAATTATACTACTCAGTATGATCATTCTGTCTCTCTGGCCCTTACATGAATGTGAGATTCATTGAATATTTTACCAAAACAAAATGCCAAAAATATTTTAGTTATATGGTCAGTCTTGCCAAATTATTTGCAAGCATATGTACATTTGAGGTAAAAGTTACATACAAGGAAATGCACAGATCTTAAGTGTGCAACTCTATGAGGCTTGATCAATATACTCGTGTAACTGCCACTGTGATCAAGACCCAGAAAATACCACTCCAGAAAGTCCTCTGTGCCTCTTGTAGTCAATGCCTACGCTCTAAGGCAACTTGTGATGGATTTCTATCTCTATAGCTTATTCTTTTCTATTCTTCTCACAAATGTAATCATACATGATATATTTTTATATGCCCAGCTCCTTCCACTTAGTATTTTTAGTTCAATTATTTTGTTTCATGTATTTGTAATTCACATTTTTGGCTCACAGAATATTATTCCACTGCATAACTGTATAATTTATTGATTCTCTTGTTAAATATTCTGGTTATTTCTAATTGTGGGCAATTGTGAATAAAGTAACTATGGACATTCTTACACCAGCTTTTTTGTAGATAAATGTTTTTATTTCTTTCAAATAACTACTAGAAATGGAACTGCTAAGTCTTAAATGTTATTTAACTTATAAGAAAGTACTAGTTCCCCAAAGCAATCGTATCATTTTAAAGTATCACTGGTAATGTATGAGGACTACAATTGCTGTACATCCTGATCAATAATTAGTATTAGTAGTTGTTACAGTTCAGATCTAAAACATTCCCCCAGTCTCATGTGTCTGGAAGGTGATCACTAGTAATGTATGAGGACTACAATTGCTGTACATCCTGGTCAATAATTAGTATTAGTAGTTGTTACAGTTCAGATCTAAAATGTGCCCCCAGTCTCATGTATCTGGAAGGTGACTGGGTCATGGTGGTACTATGAGTCCACTGATGAGTTCATAGCTGAATGTGCTGTTAGGAGGTGGAGCCTGGTTGGATGTGGGTCATGATCTGGAAGGATATATTCTTATTCTAGGTTCCTTTCCATGCGGCCTCTTCCAGCGGCCATGGAATGAGCAAATTTCTTCTGCCATGCCCATCCACCATGCTGTTTCTGTCTTGGAGTATGCCAACTCTGGATTGAATTTGCTGGAAAGTTGGCATCAAACAAACCTCTCCTCCTTTAAATGATGTGTGCCAGGTATTGTGTCTCAGCAACAGGGGTGACTAATAGGGTAGTTTAAAAAAAAATCTCTATAATCCCAGAATTCTGGGAGGCTGAGGCTGGAGAATAGCAAGTTTAAGCCCAGTTTGGGAAATTCAGTAAGATCCTGTCACAAAATTTAAAAAGGATTTGGGGTTGGCTCCGTACAAGGCCCTGGGTTCAATCCACAATACCAAATATAAAAAAAGCAACTTACTCCACTAAGATATGATTTACATGGAAATGTATCTATCTTTATAGTCATTTTCAAAAATATGTCTCTATACAATTACCACTGATCTGTTCATTCATCTATTATTTTTTCCTTCTGTCAACACCTCACTGTCTTTAACTACTACAGTTTTGAAATAAGTGTTGAAATCAGATAGTATTTTCTCATCTTCAACATTTTGATGGACATTATTCTAGACCCTTTGCATTTCTGTATGAACTTGAGAACTAATTTGTCAACTTACACACACACACACAGAGTTACGATTTTTGTTGACATTTGAAGGAAGCTACAGATGAACTCGGGTATATCATTTTAATAATATTGATTCCTCTGATTCATAAACATAGTATAGCTCTCCATTTATTTAAATCTTCATTAGTTTCTTACAATAATATTCTGTTGTTTGCACTATAGCAGTCTTACGTTTTTGACTAACAATCCTAAGTATTTAATATTACTTATTGCTATTACACATGGGATTATCTACTTAATTTCATTTTGCAATAGTTTGTCAAGAGGAAATAGACATATATAAAATTTATTTTAAGTTTTGATCTTACATCCTATGATCTAGATACTTCACTTACTAGTCTTTGGATTGTTTGTTTGTTTGTTTTCGGTATCAGGAATCAAACTCAGGACCTGGTGCTTGCCAGGTGCACCAGCTGCTCTGCAGAGCTATGTCCCTGGCTCTCCCTAATGAGTTCTAGTAGTCAGCTGTTTCGCAGATTTCTCAGGAAGTCCTTCATATACAATCACGTCATCTTGAATAAAGACAAGTATATCTTTTCTTCTCTATATCTTTTTTCTCCTTTTCTTATCTCACTGTACCAGCTAGCACTCCTAACGTAATGTTAAATAGAAGTGGAGAACAAGGTATTTATCTTGTTCTCAGCCTTTGGGGAAATAGGTTTAATATTTCACCATTATATTAATTGTAGTTATTTCACAGATGCCCTCTTTCAAATTGAGAGAATTTTCTTTATTCCTATTTTACTGAGAATTTTTTTTAATCATCAGTAAGTGTCTGCTCCTAGTGAAATAATCATACATTCTTTAACATATTTTTGGCTGACATGGTGAATCACAATAAAATTGAAATTTTTGTATGTAAAATCTAACTTGCATATTTCCGGGTAAACCAAAATTGGATATGCTACATTATCAATATATGATATATATCTATTTCTGGGTATGATCTGCTCATATTTTTTAAGTGTTCTTTTATCTATGATCATGAGGAATTAGTCATTCTTTCATGACTGAAACAAAACACACAACACTCAACTTAAAGGAGGTGAGGTTTATGTTGGGTTATGTTTCAGTCCATAGACCACTGGTTCCTAGGCAGGGCAGCATGGCGGCGGGGCAACGTGGAGAAAAAGCTGCTCACATTATGGTGACCAGGAAGCAGAGCCAACAGGGAGCAATCAGGGAGGACGAGAGATACTCTTCCAGGCCATATGCCCAGTGAGCGGTACTTTCCCATCAGATCAAGCCTCTTAAAATCAAGTCAGCTATACAGCGCCTGTAATTCAGTCCCTTTCAAAAGCCCCATGTATGAGCATGAGGCTTTGGGAGGATAGCCAGAAATAACCAGTTATGATATGTGCTCTTTAATTCCTAATACTGATCATTTGTATTTTCCTGTTTTATCAGTCCTGGAAGGGACTTATCAATTTTGTTATTCTATTTTGTTCTATTTATGTATGAAGCAAATGTTAAACATTTGCAAACACACCTAAGAAAAAGCTAGCTGCACCGGCTAACCTCCAGCACAAGTCAAAGGACAGCCTTGCAAAGCCATCGTCCAGGCAGCCACCAAACAGATACACTGGGAAACGGGTTCCTCTGAGCACGAACTCTATTCTTTCCCATCTGGTGGCTTCTGGGTTGCTTATTTTTCACAATGACTGAAGACTGTTCCTTTCCAAGGATCTACTTCTGAGGAGGATGAAGGAAAAAAGTCAAGAGTAAGTACTTTTTTCCTTGAATAAATCCTCAACTGCTGAAAATTTCTGGTTACTTTTCAGAGTTATGAAAAAGTTAATTCTATTTTCATTTTTTAAAACTTTTGCCAGGCTTCTCATTGCTTTTATAGGGAAGTAATTTTCAGAGGCCATTAGTTCACCATTTGCACTGATGTCTCATCTCGATTCTAATAAATTTTGCTGCTTATATTAATTTCTGGCTTTCTATCTTCAAGTTCTCCATCTCCTGTTAGCTCATTTAATGGACTTTTCATTGCAGATATAATATCTTTCAGTTTTCATATCTCACTTAGTTCTCCTTTGTAGTTTCTATATTTCTGCAAAGTTCCTTCTCGTTACTTATGATGTCATTTTTTTCCTTTAACTCCTTGGGTATTGTCACAACAGTTACTTTGAAGTGTTTACTTGTAAGTTCCTTTATGGAGTCATGCTAGGGCATTTTATAAACTACCTTCATATTCATTTAGACCTATTTTTCTCTTGACCATGGGTCACTTTTCTATTTCTTTGAATTTCACCTTTTCCATTCTGGCCACTTAGAATGATACATTGCAGACATTTTGACTCTGCTATCTTCCGCTAAGGGTTGCTTATTTTTTTCTTAGCAAATAGGTAAAATACTGGCTGATTACCTCTACTTTCTAAGGCGGATTTCACACTTTGCTAGGGAAATTTTTCTTGGAATTTGCCTTAGTCTTAGATCATGACTTTCCTCCTAAGATATTTTTATGAGGTTTTAATAGACAGCCTGATGTATCTACTAAAACCCTCATACTTGGTGAAATTCTAATTGTGCCTCACCTGAGGTAGACACCAGGTGAAACATCCACTAGGCTTCTTCATCCTCTCTGTGCTTGCTTCCCTCCTGGATCCTTGAAAATCCCCATTATGGCTTGTATCTAGATGTCCCCCCAAAGTGTCAAACACTCATAGGTGGAGCTTTTTGTAGATGACTGGGTCTAGAGTGTGTAAATATAGATTATGGTGTATGGTATAACTAGATTAGTCCACAGTTGGTTTAGTACAGTTCTGGGTGTGGATAATGGGAAGGCTCAACCAATAGGCTCACAGCCCAAATAGAATTAAAAAGGGATAAAGAGGCTTACTGCTTCACTACCTCCTGCATGGCATGCCATGAACTGTTTCTCTTCTGCCATGCTGCCCTGCCTTGGAACCAGCTAAATGTGGATTGAAACTTCTACAATCTGTGAGCTAAAAAGACCTGTTCCTTCTTAATTTGTAGATGTTGGGTACTTTTTCTCAGCAATGAGAAAGTGACTAAGACAACTTCTTTGCAGATACAGAGTTCAGGGATTAGTCGAAGATTTGAGAAAAATTTGTATTTCGTTTGGAGGACTTCTTTATCTTTAGCTTCCTACTTCCTGGGACTTTCTCCTTCAACTTCCATCCATACTGGTTGCTCTGAGCTCTGTCCTCTGACACAGCAGACCAATAAGACGAAGCCTTTCTAGCAATCCTCACCTATGATACCACGAGGGAACTCACAGGAAAAAAATTAAGAGGAAATTTTCCATAGTATAGTACTATTCTTTAAAGAAATAAATCTCTGTCAGTTTGACTTTTTGTTCTCTTTCCAGATTATCTTCATATAAATTCATATACTTCGATCAAGTTTTATAATTGTTATATCTGGGAAAGTTTGCCTGATTTAAGCTAGTCCACTATAGGACCAAAACCAGCCTTGATGAATTATTCTTCACTTGAAATCTAACATAAATACAGTAAATAATCTATTTCTATAATCTATATATTATAGATTATATTTCTATTTCATAACGAATTAAATATGCATAAGGTAAAACATACAGGGATCCCAGAATTATTACATAGATGGGATCTTGGATCCAGAAGATTTTTCTTGAAATTCTATATACACAACAAATACACTATTTACTTCTGGTGGGTGCTGTGATGGAGAATTGAGGAATGGTACTATGGACAAATGAGATAACTAAAGTTCCAAAGTGACTGGTAGATAATTGGCTGAGATTCTTTTCTAAAAGATCTAGGAAAATCAAGAAATTATCTTGACTGCATGAAAGTAACATAACATAGACCTTGAAGAAAGAATTGGAATGGAGGTAAAGTATATTCACATACTTATATCCACACTTGACAATCAATATGGATTTAAATTGAACAAGTTCTCAAACACCGGCTTTTTTTTCCTCTGCCAACTGCAAAGTTTGCAACAACTAATAGCATCTAACAGTAAACCAATAGGTAGCTAGCTCTTTGACAGATGAAGAGGACTCACCTCCACTTGTAATATGTCAGTTTATAGAGAAGCCTTTTCTCAGGGTTATTGTGTAGTTTTCCTTTATAACATTTACTGAAACATGCAATCACATAGATTTTCATGAACTAATTTGACTAAATTTAATCTTGAATGATGGTCAATATACTTACAAATGTTTTGGACACTTCAAGATACAACAGAAACTTCTATAGATTTAAAAAATACGAAGACTGACTTTTTAAATTTGTAGTTGCCTTACAAAGATGTATTTCTACATCCCTATCTTCCTCTTCCTGCGTCAACCCCTACTTTAAAGAGATATCCTATCTACATTACTAAAGCCACCACCCCAGGTTATCTAGCTCAGCTCAGCACTTAATCTGCCCTAACTGCACAGGAGAGCAGTTTTAATGCTAGGTACAAAAAGACTGAAAAAAAAAAAAAAAAAAAAAAACTGCAATATGTCTGACATTTGTGAGACAGACAGAAAAGTATCAAGGCTTTTTTTCCCCACTTTTCTACAGACCACACAGGACAAGTGCATTTTGGCTACACTGTCTCCTCCCAGTGACTAACTTCATTAAAAAGGAAGTAACTGGTAATGGTAAAAGCAGCCCCTTACAAGGCAAAGGAAAGGAAAGGACACTTCCCCTGTGCGCAAAGACATTTTTGACAGGGTTAAACTTTCCTCCAGGAATCTAAGAAGAGTATTTGGGTGAAGACTGATTCAAGATCACAAAAACACTGGAACACCTTAAACTGGCTTGTGATTATCACTTTTTTGCAATTCTAATTTCCTAGCCTGGCTGTCCAGGCTCACCTAAACGATTCCGGCCCTACCAGTTATTCTAATTCCGGACCTGAGTTCTCTGACTTCTCCCTCACTCTTCCCATCCTAGACTGACTCCTCTCCTTCCCTAGGGCAAGAAGAGGCTCCTCCAAATTCACCTGTCCTGGCAGCTCTGCGCCACCACACTGCCAAAGTCAAGACAAACCATCTGTCAGGTGCATCCTCCTTTCTCAGGAAAGAAACGCCTCCACCTCGGCCGGCTCAGCCTCCCCTTGCAGGTCCTCCCAGCCACCCTCTCCGCATCCTCTCTACCCTCCAAGCCGGCCTGTCCAGGCGTCCTCCGTTCTCAGACCCGCAGCTCCGCCGGGGCAGACCCCCGCCCAGGTCTCACCTGCACGCACTTGGCCGCGCTGATCCGCGTCTGCTGCACGAAGGGGTTTGGCACGGGCGGCGGGAAGAAGGATGCCTGGCGGGGCACCATGGGCGGCCGCGGGCCCGGGGCCCCGACCCCCGCGCCGGGCACCGTGGCCGCCACCGCCGCCGCCTCGGCGCACCGGTTCATAGCCGAGCCTGGGTGGGAGCCGAGCGGAGCCAAGAAGGCGGGACGCAGCCGCAGCGATCGCAGGCAGAACCCTGCCCGAGTCCCAACCCAGGCGCCGCCGGGGCCTCTGCGCAGGCGCCGGGTACCTAGCGACGGCCCCGCCCCCGGCTCTGGACACGCCCCCCGGTACCTGGCCCCTCCCCTTTAATCTCAGCCCTTTCCCAGGTGCGCGGTTCCTGCAATGACTCTGAAGGTTACCCGGGTATAAATCTCAAGTGGAAAGCACGTTAGGCAAAGTTCCCTGCTTTAAGGTCAGGCAAACCTGGACTTTCGGTTTTACTGATGTCTGCGAAATCACTTACCTCCATGAACCTCAGTTACCTTTGTAAAACGTACACAGACACCCACCCAGAGAACCTGGGTCCAGCAATATAGTTCCTCTGGTCTATTCCTTTAAGTGAAATAATATACCCAAAGTGAGTGCTGCTATCTGTGCTTGACTTCTGATGTGTTTTCTTTTTTTGTAAACTAACTTGAGTCGGGTGTTTGCGATACAAAAATCAACCACGGGATTAAAATCTGTTCCACCCAAGACATATATGCTCATCATGAGGAGATAGTTCTCCAGAGAAGCGAGCTTGTACTAGAGAAGTCAAAGACAACAGTTGGCTTCCTAGTAGATAAGGAACCTGACCCAAAAGGGAAATGACGTGGGTGGTAGTTCCATTTTACCCTGAGGAAGTACAAGGATCAGTTAGCCTATATGTGGGTGCAGGGGTGTGGAGAGTTTTCTGGGACCTGAGACCAGTGACCAGTGACCCATCCCTAAGTGAAAATGAAAGAACAGAGGTGGTAAGTCACTCATTTCTATTATCAGAACTGGCCAGAATGAAGCTCTACCCAGGCTATGAGATAACTGTTTCTCCAAACCTCTGAGTATAGAATCTTGGATTTTTCCAGCCCTACCACATAGATGTGCAGCCTTGAGTTAGTCTTTCACTTCTGTGAGCTTCTTTTCTTCATTGTGGAGTGGGAAATTAATTCCTACTCCATAGGACTGCAGTAAGGATTGAAGTGACCCATGTGTCACGTTCACAGAAAATCATTCAAGGAACGGCATGTTGGGAGTGGCTGAATTTTCTCAGTGTAGCAGAGAACCTTAATTACAGTACATTATAGCTGTGATATAAACCGCCCAGCCTACAGGATCTTCAAGCAGGGCTGCATAACACCTTCAAGAGCTGATTACTACTCTGGCTCTTTGGCTAGATATTTGCAAGAAGGCTGTCTGTCCAGAGCCTTCAGAATCCAAAGCAGTGGGCAGACCATGGTAAAAAGATGATCTTGGGTCCCCTGAGATCACTTTTGGGGAGTTCTGTCTACTTCCCCACCAGCCCAACCAGGAGAGACCAGAAGCAGTGGATCACCAGGCTGTCTTAGCTGGCAGGGTTTTCCGAAGAGTCCCAGGCTGCTGCTGGGCATGATAACACATACCTGTCATCCCAGCACTCTAGGAGGCTGAGACAGAATGATACAGGTTTGAGTTGGCCTGGAGAAATTGGCAATTTAGCAAGATGCTAAAAAAAAAAAAAAACCTCAGGCCTTAACCTTGGCAAGTTTCTACACAGGAGGAAAGTAGGAGTGAGTAGTCTTATAGGAGGAGGAGTGGGGTCATTCACTAAAGTTAGCTATGCTTAGAAAGAATGCACATTATTCTCCCCCAGGTGGGTTTACTTGGGGAGGTTTGAGTGGTGGTAGGTCAGGCTGCTGGTTGGCATTCTAGGTCAAGGGCTAAAGTTCCTCCTGCAGGTCATCCTTTAGTTGGGACTGAGTTCTGTTAACTAGCAGCTACAGGACCCTGGGTAAACCACTTTTCTCTGGGTCTAGTCTTCTCATCAATAAGATTCAGCTGGTTAACTTCCCCTTTAAGGGGTCGTAAAGGTTAGATGAACTGATGCCTGTAAAGTCTCTGGCACTTTGTAAACCCTTCATCAGTCATGATGGAAAGCACTGTTGTTGCAGGTTAGTAGTAGCACTAGAAATGGTATCATTGTTAATGAAAAAACTGAGACTGAATGCAAACCCCGAACTATCCCATAACTAACGTGAAGAACTGCTGCTCTGTCAGGCTCTTTGCTCACTCAGACTGGAAGGACACGCGCTCACCCACTTCAGGACTCTCCTGCTGTTTATTTTGGCATCATTGATCTTCCTGGAGAACATCATCTGCTCCCTGCAGGTGGCAGAGATTTTCTAAGTTTCCTCTTCTGGATGCAGCTGTGGCCCCACTCTGGGCTCTGCTAAAACAGATGGCAAACACTGCCACTCAATTGGAGTCTTTATTTATACTTGTTGCCATTTCCCATGGGGAACTGTTGAAGGGGGAGGCAGAAAAGAATGAGCTGAAAGCCATGGCTTGGGTTCCTCCAACCAGTGGAGGCTGAGACTGGGTAGAGATCCTAAATAGAACAGATGTGGGAACCGATGCTATGTGGGTGGAGACGCATCGTGGTGACTTGAGACAATCCAAGTCCTTCCGTCAGGAAATGTGATAAAGTAGAAAAATCAAAGGATCAAAAGAAAAGAACAAAGTGCTCAAAAAGCAAAAGACTAGTGCAGGGAAAGTTCTAAGGCAGCCAGCAGTGAGAAGCCGGGTGTTAAGGTGGCCACTTGACCATTCCTCCTATCCCACTGCCTCATGCCAGGCTGTTGGGCCACCAGTGCCCTCTAGAGATAGTCTCTGTAGGCTCCACGGCTGCTGTGAGTCATAGAAGGTTGCAGAGGGAGAAGATCCTGAAGGGTGACAGCACCAGGGCAGCCCAGAGCAGGACTGCATTGAGAAAATCAAAGCATCTCTTTCGGGCTGGCTCCGAGGGGTGGTGAGATTGGAGGGGGAAAGGGCACCTGGAAGGGGTACAACAGCACCTTTCTTTGGGCACAGGGTGGAGCAACTCTCTGGAATCTTAAATTACCAGGCAAAGGTTGAGAGTGCTGATTTAACTACAGAGCTGAAGCCAGGGCTGGCAGGCCCCTCTGGGTCTTTCCCCAGTGCTCAGAGCCCAGTGGAGAAGGGCCAGTGGGAGCCAGGCCAGCTCAGCAACCCAGCCAGTCCGATTTGATGCTTCCAAACTTCACGCTCTTCAGACTTTGGTTCTCCAGCTTCAGGTAGTAAGCACCCTTGAAGAAGTAGCTGTGACCTAGGACAGAGAAGGACAAGAGGTTGTGATCAGCCCATCCTGATATTCAGGTATACAGCCAGAAGGTTCCTAAGAGCTTGGTTATCAGAGACACAGGGGAGAAGCTTTTAAACCAGAGAGATAAGGTCTCTTAATCCCTGTCTGCTCATCTCTGTGATGGGATAAAGACACCAACCTCTCAGGGCTTGCAGTGCAATTAAAGTAGAAGATATCTGCTAAGAAGCAATAAGGACAACAGTATCCTATGTAACGCCAGCACCGAGCCAAGCACTTTCCATGACCAGGGATAGAAGACCGGGAGCCTTTCACTCTTATCTGACCTACAGATGCCTTTTATTTGACTCACACAAGTTGAGGGGGTTTTTTTTTTGGGGGGGGGGATGTTTTTTGTGCTTATTTGTTTGTTTGTTTTGCTTCTGTGTTTAATTATGAATCATTTATCAACCTAGAAACATCGAGAAATGTCACATGAATGTAAGAATATATGCCTTCTTTTTAAAACACCTGGAATAGCTACAAAAATAAGGCCCCAAATTTGGCAACTCCACACTCATAAGAAGCTGAGAAGCAACTTTTTCCTGTAAATAAGCCATGGCAGGCTGGGGATTTGGCTCAGTGGCACAGTGCCTGCCTGGCAACAACACAGAGTCCTGAGTTCCCAATACCAAAAAAAGTTTAAAAAAAAAAAGCCATGGGTCTCTGGTTCACCCCAGACCTCTCCAGTGCCTACTGTCTAATCCCTGTGTGGTCCCAGGAGGTTTTGACAACTGTGAATTCCTCCTAACATACATGATCCCACTCATTTTGCTTTAAATCCTGGTACATAGTAGGTGCTCAATAGATGTCTGGCTGTTTGGTTGAAGATAACTGTTAACCTAGGACCTGACCATATGCTGCTTTTTGTTATACCTGTAAGATCTTTAGCCTGTAGAGTTCAGAGCTATGTGCCTGGCATATGGTAGGAGCTCAAAAGAATCTTTGTAGAATTGAACTGAAATCTCCTCTAAAAAGCCAAACTGAACTCATTTCCAGGGCCCTAGAGAGCTCCCAGAAGCCTCCTCAGGAATCTGGTTTTCAAACCCCGATTCTATCCTTTGCTGATACTGGCTGTGTTTCATTCAGCAAAGAAGCAAACAGACGAGAGCAGGATCATTGCAGCATGAGCAACAGAGCATGACAAAGTTTGCCTTGTCTCCAATGGAGCTAGCCTTCTGCTGATGGGAGGCAGCCACAAGGCCTCCTTCAAAACCCGAAGGGACCTGGATCAAGCCCCAGAATGAATCCAGGGCACCAGGCCATGTTCCTTGCTCCCTGCAGGCCTCTTCCCCTCCCCTGCCCTGGCTTCAGGCCCTGCAGCTGTGAGGAGCCTTTCTAGGTCTCACTGCCTAAGGCCTGGCTGAGGAGCAGGGGTCAGGGGTCTGGCTGCCTGCCCAGCCCCAGGCTGAAGGGGTTGGTTTGTTTTGCCAGGGCACAGCAGCTTGCCCTGCACAATGAGGAAGTGTGTGTGCTGGGGAGGAGCTGGGCCTTGGCTGGGGGCAGGGAGTCCTAGAAAGCGGATGAAGGCCTGGATAGCTCACCACTGCCCTGCAGGTCCACAACGGCATCCAGGTTATCAGGGATGGCATTCCAGGCATCTGCAATGAGCTTGGGAAAGCCAGGATCCATTTTCTTCTTCACCTCATTGTATCTGTAAGACAAGAAACCACATTGCAGGCTGTCTCCCCCCTAGATGATGGCTCCTGGGTAGGCTTGAGAAACCAGACCCTGACCCTCAGAGAGGCAACTGGTGTAATGGGAGAGTGTGGAACCAGGCCTGGGTTTCAAACTTAACTCCACCACTTACTAATTACATGACTTTGGACAATCCCATAAAAACCATCTTCAATTAGTGCCAGCACCCAGACACAGAATGTCTATCCTTCCGTCTGGCATTTTGTAGGTCTG